GTGCTTTAAACTTAGTTCTGTTGTCTTTGCAGTGTTGAAAATCATTCTTTGAAAATAGCTTTAATTATCCATGCTTTCTTATTTGACCACTAAAGACCTGGAAAGCAATCAGTAGTTATAGGCCGTGGGAGCATGAGGATTTCAACACCAATAAACAAACTGCTTTCCATTTAAAATCTCTTTCTGCATTACCCCCCAGTAAGAGTGTTAGGTCATCCTTAGGGAATTTAAAAGCAAGTTGAGTTTTTTTTCTTTCTTAAAAATGTGAGTTCTAGAAGCCATCCTTTCCCAGAAGAAGCCCATTTTATCTAGATTAAAAATGTGTTTATGAGCGTATCCTCCTTTGATTAGCTTCTTCAAAACATCATGATATGTTTCCCTGCCAAGTCCTCGTCTGTACTGGCTGCCTTTCCAGTAATTTTAATATTGTGTAGTTGAACTTGATTTTGAAAGCAGTTGAACCAGCCATGGCTTGCAGTAAAAATTTCTTTACTCTTCACTTCATTCTTGTTTTCTTTCACTGCCTTAAAGAAATTTGAATCTTTTGACTTGAGTGGCTGCTCTAAGAGCATGTTTTTGGGTTTTTTTTGATCTTCAATCCCTACAACTAAAAGCTTTCCATTTCTATCTCTGTAACACTTTTATTCTTTCTAATTGTTTGCAACCCATAAAAAGCTGATGTAGTGTTGCCCTTTTATTTTGCTTGCATATTTTAGAATATTTCATCCCATGGATTCAGGCATTCTGACATCTTTGCCCTATTTTAGAAACGAAAAGTAATGACTTAAACTAGAGTGGTAACCCAGTGAGAAGAGTAGGGGATGGATTTGGCGACTGTTCAGTATGGGAGTGGCAGAATAAAGAAGAGTCAGTGATTATTCTGGGGATGTAAACCCATATGACTGTAAGGATGATGCTTCCCCTTGACAGAAATAGGGAAGTTGGGGAGGGGGATGGATCTAAACTGCAGGAATAGTCTTTTAATTGCTCTCTCTAGTTCTTTTTCTTTCCTTTCTCCAGTCCATCTCCTGGACAGTTGCAGAATTGATATTCCTGAAATACAGGTCTGACCCTGTCACTCCTCTGATCAAGAAAATAAAGTGGCTCCATCTTGTCTTGTCTCTAGGATAAAATACAAATACCTCTGGCATTTGAAGCCCTTCATAATCTGGTTCCAGTTTCTTTTTACCGACTTATTTCACATTATCATTATTATTAACAATTACAATAATTATTATTTCTATATTGTGTTACTTGCTATTTCCTGTTCTATTTTAGTGCCTTTATACAGGCTCTCATATCTTCCCCTCATTCCTGTCCTACCCACCCCTCTCTTCACCCCCCCCTGGAATCCTGGAATATTTTCCTGCCTCATCTCTATCATTTGAAATCTTTAATTCTCTTCTAGACTCCACTCAAGTGCCACCTTCCATAGAAAGCCTTTCTGGATGCTCTCAATTGTTAGCATTCTTTCTTCCTCTCTGTTGCTACCCCTAAATTCAGACCTGGATGAGACCTTAGAGACCATAGAAGTCCATCCTCTTGTTTGCAAACTAAGGAAAATGAGGCTGAGAGAGATTAGTCAACCAATCAACAGTTCTTTAAACACACACTTCATACTAGGTAGGCACTGTGCTAGATGCTGGAGTGCAAGTACAAAAAATGAGACAATCCCTGCTCTCCAAGGACTTTACATTCTAATGAGAGAAACAACAAGGACATAGAAAAATTTATGCTACATGAGTATAAAGTTAATAAATACAAATACATTCAAAATAGTTAAATATAAGGTCATTTGGGAGGAAGGGCTTGCATGAGCAGACATGGGGAACAAAAATTTCATGCAGAAGATAGTTCTTCAATTTCATCGTAAAGGAAGAGAGACATTCTTTGAGGTGGAGGTGAAGAAAGAGTGAGTTCCAAACCATAGGGCAACCAAAGCCCAGAGACAAGAGATCAAGTTTTGTGTGTGAGAGAAAAAAGTGTTGGGGGGAAGGGCGGCAAGCATTTATTAACCACCTGCCATGATCTAGGTACTGTGCTGTTTGCATTACAAGCATTATTTCATTTTATCACCATTTAAACAGAATGCCAGTTTGACAAGATTAGTTTGGAAAGGGGTATAATGTCCAGTGAGGCTGTAAAGAGGTTAGGTCCAGGTTGTGGAGGGATTTAAAAACAAAGTAGATTTTATGTTTTATTGCAGAGGCAGTTGGAAACCACTGGAGTTGACTGAGTAGATCAGTCACATCTGCCTTTAAGGGGAGTCCCTTAGGCAGTTGTATGGTCGATGGCTTGGAGTGGAGATGAGGCAGGAAGTCCAATTGTAGGTAGTACAGGTAGGAGGTAATGGGAGCTTGAACTGAGGGGGGAAGATAATGAGTTAGTTTTTTTTAACACCCTGAAATTTTTTTGGGGGGGTTAGGCAATGGGGTTAAGTGACTTGCCCAGGGTCATACCGCTAGTAAGTGTTATGTGTCTGTGGCCGGATTTGAACTCAGGTCCTCCTGAATCCAGGGCCGGTGCTCTATCCACTGCGCCACCTCGCTGCCCCCGACACCCTGAGTTTTAAGGTGTCTCCAGGACATCTAGCTTGAATTGTCAAATCAGCAGTTAGCAATGTAGAAGTGAAGTTCAAGGGAGAGACTGGAACTGGATTCTGTCTGCATAGATACCATCTCCATGGAGATGCTAATTAAACTACTGAAGCTGATAAAGTTACTGGGAGTGTTGAGGGAGAACTCTATGGGAACATACCCACTGGTAGGAGACTTGAATGACTTGGATGTCATCCAAAAAAGGAGACTGAGGAGGAGTGGTCAGAAAGGTAGAAGGAGAGTCAGGAAAGAGCAGAGTTATCTAGGAGGGAGGGGTGATTAACAGTGTCAAAATCAATATTTGCATTTATTAAGCACCTACTGTCTTCTCTCCATTGTGCTAAACTGGGTGAAATGCCGCAGATACGTGGAGAATGATTAAGACTGAGAAGATAGCTTCAATTTAGCAATTAAAAAATCATTGGTTCCTTTGGAGAAGATAGTTTCAGTTGGATAAGATTTGAAACCAGTGGATTGAGGCGTCAGAGAAGGGGAAGTGAAGTGGAGGCATTGATTTTGGCTGAAATGATATCTTGATTGGAATGATTTGGTCTAGTGAAGATTTTTTTAAGTATGGATAGGAAGACATGGGCATATTTGAAAGGAGTAGGGAAGGAACTAGTTGATAAAGAGAGGTTGAAAATTCCAGAAAAGTTGGGGGATAACGTTGATGATTGGAAGATGTAATCTGCTAGAGAATGGAGAAGGGGAATGGGATTAAGTACACACATACCTTTTGTCCTAAACTGGGTTGGGGGGGAGGAGGAAAGAGTGGGAGGTGATATCAAGCAGTTTTGAGATGAGAATAACAAAAGAAGGAGCTCTCAGGAAATGACCACCATTTTTAAAGAGTCAAGGTCTTCATTTGTGAAGGAGGAAAGGGAAGGTAAGTTTTACAATAGTTTCTTAAGGAGAGGAGATAGGGAATTAATTAGAGAATAAATAAAAGGAATTCTTTGCTGCAATTATTCCCCAGTTGAAGTCAGGTAACACAAATTTGTAATGTAACCGATCAGTGCAATTAAGTTTTCCTCTAACTTCTCAGTGATTAATGAGTAGTAGTAGAAGAGGCAGATGGTGAGAGTAATCCCAGACAGGGTTTGACATGAGAAGAGCAGTGAGAGGACAAGGGAGCAAGGGTCTCAAGAGGAAAGTCGAGTCGAATTGAGTCATAGAGTTGAAATGGCGAACTATTGGGTCGAAGTTGGAGGAAAATAAAGCCAGAGCCGGGGGAATGAACTAAGACAACATTGAGAGGTAAAAGGACTGTAGGATTCAATCATTTGGAACAGGTATAGGTGGGGGTGAGGTATAGAGAAAGATGGAATGACAAATGGATATGGTCAAGTGGGGAGTGATAGAGTGAACTGGTTAAGGCCTAGGTCAGCTTCTGCAACTGGGTGGTTGTTGGGGGAGGAATGGGACAGTGGTCCCCCTGGGCTACAGAGGGGGCTGCTGGGGAACCTTGCTACCAAGTATATGAGGCAGGATTTGGACTCAGATCCTTCTGACTTCAAACCCACTACTTTGCATATATTTGAATTTATATGTCTGTGTGCTTGCTGTTTTTTGAGCAGGAACTCTTTTCCATTTTTGTGTATTTCCGGTGTCCTATATAGTACCTGGCATGTTGGGTACTTGTTGAATTGAATTATTGAGCTTTTTTAAACAGACATATCAGAGTTTATGCATAGAAGGAAGTATGCCCAATAAAATGTTTTTCTTAGTAGTCTGTGTACTTAATTCTGATGATACTTCTGTTTTAAACATTTTGGAACTTATTTTTTGGAATTGCTTTTAGAGGCAGTTTACCAGTCACATATTATTTAGTCAACCTCAAACATTTATTTAGCACTTAATGAAGTGCCAGGCACAGTGCATCAGACACTATTTAGGTCCCCGACCTTTATTTTTTCCTCATTCTTTCTGCTTCACAGTTTAGTTCTCACTCTCTACCCCCCCCATACCGCCAACCCTCATCCCACTGTCTCCATTGAGCCAGCAGTCTGAGGACCCCCAGGGAGAAGGCCTGTCTATGAACTGAAACACCCTGGGGGCTGGCCTGAAACAAAAGCCAGGAAGAAAGTCACTGAGCATATCAAAAAGCAAACTTACTAAAAGTTCTTCTGTGAGACATTTGTCTGCTACAAATCAATAAAAATGGAGCACTGATAAGTAGAAAATTTAAAATTTACTGCCTTTACTGTCTTTTCTTTGAATGTTACTTTTTAATTTTCTTCAATAAAGTGATAGTTCAGTTACCATTTCAAAACTTTCAATATTATCAATTAATATAATTGAATGTCTACTGAATATTAATTATAAATACATTGCTGACGTCTGCATTTGATTGTATAATGCATGATGGATACATAAGTTAATATACTTTTTAAAATTTCTTAGGCAAATATTGTGGTCTGGGGCTGCAACTGAACCATTCGATTGAATCAAAAAGCAATGAAATGACAGTGCTATTCATGAGTGGAACCCATGTTTCTGGACGTGGATTTTTGGCCTCCTATTCGATTACGGATAAACCAGGTAATGTTTAGTTTTCATAGCTTCCCACATATTGCCAATTAAAAAAAAGCTTCTCTAAATAGTTCATAAGTTCAAGATGGAAGGGAGGGGATAGACTGTACCAAAACTTTGTTCTGTATCTTGGTGGTAAAAACAATAAACCTCTTCCAGATTTGATTAAAATGACTTAAAATGTTGCATGTTTTCCCATAAAGTTTTTTCCTTGACAGAGGAATACCAATTTTTTCATTTCAGTCTCATAAAAAAAGCATATTTAGAAAAGATTTTAACATAATATAAATGTAAAACTTTATTGTTAAGATGCAACCACTTCATATCTGTGACAATGGTAGAATAGGGTGTAATTTTTTTTAATCAGAAGAAAATGTATACTTGCATTTTTGTAAAAATAGAACTACATTTATTTATTTTAAAAACAAATTCAGCTTTCTGTTTATTTTGTACAACGAATATATGTAATAAGTTTGTTAATCTCACAGCTAGTTGGATATTAGGAATACTGGGGACAGCTACCCATCTTCATGATTCACATATCAGGTGAAGGAAATAAAGGTACCAGTGGAACCAAGAAAATGTTTCTTGGAAGCCATAGGAAGAGAGGATAAAAATATCAAGGACATAGAGGGTGATCAAAAGTGTCACTTGCTGCAGAGAAATTAAGGGTACTGAGAAAAGGCTATTGATTTTAAGTAGTAGGAGATGGCCTTTTATGAGTGGAAGACAATTTACAAGGGTTTGTGGGAGCAGTTTAGATGTATTTATTAGAAAAATCACTATGGGGCCAGCTATGTGGCGCAGTGGATAGAGCACTGGCCCTGAAGTCAGGAGGACCTGAGTTCAAATCCAGCCTCAGACCAAACACTTGACACTTAATAGCTGTGTGACCCTGGGCAAGTTACTTAATCCCAATTGCCAGAAAAAGAAAAAAAAATCATTATGAATGTTGAAGTCAGACGATAATGGCAGATTCTGGGAGGGAGGGAGAAAAATGGGAGGGGGACAGACAGAGAAACTTGAGATTGGTATATTGTAACACCAAAGATGGGGAGACAATGACATTTTTAGATTACGGGAACTTTGAAGGAGGAAGGATTGCTAAGGAATAGTGGCAAAGTAATGATCTAGAATTGCTAGTAGGGGATAAGGAAGGAGTGTATTGATTAGTTCCTTGTTCCTCTCCAAGGGAAGCTGGGAAGAGCAACTTCCCTTTAGAAAAAGCTTAAAAGGGATGTGTCATCCTTAGTGGGAAGCCAAGATTCTGTTATGCAAAAAGACTGAGGATGTACTTGACAAAAAGTTTAAGATGAAAAATAGTTTGCTTATAATAGAGCAAGAAGATTCCAGGGGCTAAAGAAAACATGGAGAATGAGGGGGATTTGTTTAGAATATAGTGAGGGATTCTAAGCAAGGGAATAGGAAAGTGGTGGGCAGGACTGGAGTGAATGTGAGGAGGGAGGAATAAGTCATTGGTGCTAGTGGAAAAGGTATTTGAACAATTGCCAAGTCTTAAACATTTTCTTATTACAAAATATCTTTTATCCATTCCCTTTAGTATCACCCAAAACTATTCTGCCTCCATTATTTTAAATTCAGAAATTCTTGTTTATGGCCATAATTTCCCTAACCTTCCATCCTTCCCTTTGATTTCCTCCTACAGCTATTCTTTATCTTTTCCTGTTCTCCCCATCCACGGTTCTCCCCTGGCCTCTTTTTTCTCTCTTCACAGCCTTGACCCCAAAGGTAGCCAGTTCAGTTTTGTATTGTTTTCTATTTCTAAATCACTTGCCTTGTCATTAAAGCCCTCTCAGTCTTCAGTCTTGGGTTACACTCAAAGCCCTCTCAGTCTTCAGTCTTGGGTTACACTCACTCTCTGTCTTCTCCATAGCCTAACTCTAGTACTGGAGCAAGTCATACAACTTTGTCATCTGTGTCCATTACAGATTCATGTTCTCTGATGTGAACTAGGCTGTTAACTGCTGTATTTCGTAATGATTCCCTGGTGTGACTCTCACAGTAGCTTTCTCAGACTTTCTTCATAAGTTTCTAATGCTGCCAGGAAACCTTGTCTCTCAGCAAATGACCTTGACTTTTGCTTTACTGAAAAAGTTGAGGTCCTTTGTTATTTACTACCTCACACTATTTGCCTAGGTTAAACTCTAGGTTGTTAAAATGGCTTTTCTCCTTTCCAAGATTAATCTAGTTCATTTCCTTTATTGCCTGGCAACCATTCCTTCTGTTTCTTTTCTTTTTTTCCTCTTCCTCTTTTTCTTTCTTATCTTCAATCTCTTCCTATGTATTGGCTCCAGACATGGTTGTGTATTGTCCCATGATTAAAAACCTTCACTTGATCCCATATTATGTCTAGCACTATTTCTTCCCAAATTTCACTCCCAAGCTACTAGAAAGCATTGTCTACTTTTGTGTCTTCACTTCCTCACTCTCCATTCACTTCTCAACTCCTTATATTTGGATTTCCAACCCTAATATTAGACTGAAACCTTTTTTGAAATTATCAGTGAACTTTTAAAAAAATTATTATGAACTCAGTGAATATCAACAAACGTGATCATTTCCATATGCAACCATCAAGGCCTCTGGTCTAACTTCAAGACCTCTTGATGTATATTCCATTCCATTTTTGATCAGCTTTAATTGCTATGAAATTTTTCCTTACCTCAAACCTAATTGTTTTGTTTTTGTGACTTTTACTCAGTGCTCCTGGCTTTGTCCTCTGGGGCCAAGAACAAGTCTCTTCCCCTTGGAGACAGAGAGAGAGAGGGAGGGAGGGAGAGAGAGAGAGAGAGAGAGAGAGAGAGAGAGAGAGAGAGAGAGAGAGAGAGAGAGGAGGAGAGAGAGTGAGTGAGAGTGTGTGTGTGTGTGTGTGTGTGTGTGTGTGTGTGTGTGTGTGTAGAATATAACATGGTAGTTCTAAGTTTTTCCTGTTTGTCTCCTGAACTGCTCTTTTTTGTGTATTTTTACAATGTTTCATTGATGTTCTTTCCTCTCTTTCTTTTATTTTTTTGCATTATCATCATTCCTTCCTGAAAACAAAAATAAAACTTCTCTTGAAACAAATATAGTTGCGCAAAACAAATCTATGCAAACTGATCTCTTAAAGTCTAAATCTGATAGTCTTCTCCTAATCCTTATCCTCTTCAGTCTTTATCCTTGAGCTTTTTGCAGTTTTAACACTGTTTTATTGATCTTACCTCCAGAGCATTCTTTTCCTCTGGCTTTGAAAACTTTTTTTCTTCTCAGTACTTCTTTTTTCTATCTAACTGTTCTCTCTGTTCTCCACTTTTCATTTTTCATCCCATACCCTTGAAATATAGGCATACACAAAGACTCTGTTTTGGACTATGTTCTCTGTTCTCTTTGTATGCTTTCTCCCTTTGTGACCTCATCTGCTCATTTCTGCAAATGACTCTAAAATCTACATATTCAGTCCTAGTTTTTTTCTGTAGGAACTACAGTTCTGCATTTCTAACTTCCTTCTGGAAATACCAACTAGATGTCCCATTGGAATCTCAAACATTTGCCCCATTCTGAGTTCAGCAGTTTCCTCCATTTCCCTGAACTCGTCCATCCTCTTATTTTGTTAAAGGCTCCACTACTCTTCCTGTTAACCCAGTTTTGTAATCTCAGCCATCTTAGATTTTTCCTTCTTCCTCACTCCTCATATCCATTCATTTGCTAAATCTTGTGAATTTCACATTAATAATTTCTCATAGCTGTCCACTTCTCTCCACTCATATGACTATTACCTTGATTCAGGCCTTTATTACTTATCACCTAATGATTTTAGTTACCTCAGATTTTGTTTTCCTACTTCTTGTCTCTCCTTTTACTACCTCTTCCCCACAGATAACCAGAAAAAATCCTCTTTAAGGAACCAGTCTGATGATACTCATAGGAGCCTAATTCAGGAGTGAATTGTGGGAAGGAAAGTTATTCCTTTAATTCAACAAATATTTATTAAGCAGCATGCTTAATCAATAGAAAGATTAAAAAAATTCATGGCATCTAGAAGTTTACCATTTAATAGGATACAACCTAGGTTAGAGTAAGACATATGTACAGATAATTATAATACAAATTAAAAAGTGATTAACTGATGAGGAGCAGTCAAATATGGGATGGTCCCCTCTAGCTAAGGGGGTTCAGGGGAAGGCTTCATTGAGAAATTCATAAGTGAATGAAGAGAAGGATTTCAACAGATGGAGAGGTGGAGGGAGTTTGTTTCAGTCATGGGAAAAAGCTTGTGCAGATACACAATGACAGGAGGGCAAAATGATTAGTCCAATTTGATTAAGATAACGATGTTATAGACAAAGGAGAATAATGTGAGATAAACTTGGAAAGGTAGGTTGGGCCCAGATTTTGGAGGGACTTGAATGTTAGGAAAGGTCATTCATATGAGATAGTGAACCTTTGTAAACTGTAAAGAGCTATATAAATGTTAATTGTTGTTATTTTATGGTGTAGGGACCAGGGGTGGGGAACCTGAGGCCTCAAGGCCACATGTGGCCCTCTAGGTCCTCACAGAACTTCATAGAACAAATCCCCTTAATAAAAGGATTTGTTCTGTAAAAGTTGGACCCAGTTAAAGGGCCACACTTGAGGGCCTAGAGGGCCACATGTGGCCTCAAGGCTGAAGATTTCCCCACCCTGGTAGGCAATGAAAAGCCAATGATAAGGTTTGAGAAGGAAAGGGGATGTTGTTAGACTTACTCATCGGAAGATGGCAGGGACTATGTGAAGGGTTTGGAGAAGGAAGAGACCAAATGCATGTAGACCAGTTAGGAATCTATATATTATATTATAATATAATATAATAGTCAAGATAAAGGAAATTAGGAGCTGAGATTAGTATAAAGTAGAAAGGAGAGATCTCATACACACACACACGCGCACATGCACACATGAGCATATATGTATACTCCTTTAAACAAATGAATAGAAATGAAAATTTGAACAGGTTCACATTGGTTAACATGAATCTCAGTAAAATAAGAGGTGAAATAATTTGTTAAAAGAAAGGGCATTGGGAGGATTGGAACCTTGGTGTTTTGGGCAGGGGAAGGGGATTTAAAATAGTCTAATTGGGAAACACTTAGAAATGAGTTAAAAGCATTTCTTTTCAGCTTTTGTAGGCTCAGTTGAAAGTGTAGTTAGCATAAATTTTAAGCATACCCCATTAGCGAGAAATTCTTCCAGTAAAGGAAAAAAAGGGAATTAGTATTTATGTGCCAGACAGTGTGCTAAACTCTTTACAAATATTATCTTATTTGATCCTCAAAACAACCATGGGAGGTAGGTACTATTATTATCCTCATTTTACATTTGGGACAAAAAAGGTCAAGTGACTTGCCTAGGGTTACACAGCTAGTATGTGTCTGAGGTTGGATTTGAATTCAGGTCTTCCAGACACCAGAGCCAGTGTTCTTTCCACTGTGCCACCTAATTAGTACTTAGCAACTTGCAAGTAGAAGTAGAGTGCATTGAAGGGTAGAATTCCATTCCTTGTTCTTACTCCATTAATTACCAACTTCAGTTAACATGGGACTAAAGCATCCCTAGAATCCCAGAATCTCAAGAGTTGAGAGGGACCATCAAGGCCTCTGGTCTAACTTCAAGAACTCTTGATGTATATTCCATTCCATTTTTGATCAGCTTTAATTGTTATGAAATTTTTCCTTACCTCAAACCTAATTGTTTTGTTTTTGTAACTTTTACTCAGTGCTCCTGGCTTTGTCCTCTGGGGCCAAGAACAAGTCTCTTCAGACTTCCATATGTCAGCTCTTTCAATATTTGAAGGTCATTATCATGGTCCTTACCCCTAGTCCCCTTGAAGTCTTCTGTTCTCCAGGTTATACATCGTTATTTCTTTCAGTCAGTTCACATACAGCATAAACTTGAGGGCCCTCACCATCTGGATTGCTTTCTCTGAACACCCATAAGATTATCAGTGTCCTTCCTAAAATGTGATGCTCAGGACTGAACACAGCACCCTAGAAGTGATTGGATCACAGCAGAATACATTCCAAGGGAGAGAGTTATTTCACTGATTTACTATGTGTTTAATATTGTGATTGAAGGGATATGAAGCTAGAATGGGTAATGAACTAGGAGAAAAGAGAGGGGGATCCAGGAATCAGTAGGTAAAACAAGAATGAAGACAAGTGTAGAAGGAAGATTTATGGTATTTATGGAAGCAGAGGGGATGGTGGTGAAAGAGTAAAATTTTGGAGTGTAAAGGATCTCGAAGCTGGAGTAGTTCAAGCAATAATGAGGATCACAGCATGACAGTTCCACTCCACCCATTGATGTAGTTTAAGTAGAGTGTAGGATAGAAGTCATGAGAACTGGGAGGCTAAGAACCAGAGAGACCACTGTGCTATGGCTTCAAAAGGACTCTGGAAATCCTATTAATTGGAGAATTGAATAAAGGACCAAATTATGATTTTGTATGAAAAAATTATCATCCTGTTCTGTCTTCTATTATTTATTAACTAAGTAATTATAGTAAGTTTACCATAATAAACTTGTTTTGAAGTGTGAGAGAAATACAGACTCAGACTTTTCATCCTTTGGAGGCATATAAATCAGTGTCTAAAGCATGCAAAGTGTTCTGTCTCTCAGCTTTATAAAGTAGGTAAATTGTACATATAAAGCCAGGAGAGTTGGTTACAAAAACTTTAAATACATTTTGATTATATAATCACTTCAGGTAGCTATCATGCTGTCCTTTGGCCATTTTAAAGAGACAGTTTTATGAGACTATATTTTATGCAGTAATATGCTCTTTGGATTGATTGTTAGTTTTCACCTTATGTTGCTTATGAATTTAAGTGACACTAAGCTTTTTAATACATATTTCATGAAAGAAGTTATTAAATTTCCAGCCTTTTTCATTTTTCTTCCATTTAGGACTTTACAGTTTTACTTAAAGTCCTGTTGAAAGAATATTTATTAGCATCATTAAAAATATTGCTTTCCAACTATAGAGCCTTTTCAGAAAAACCTGATGTTTATTGACTCAGATTACCTAATATTAGAATTACTTAATTGTGAATACAAAACTGAAAAATCGAAATATCAGTTTCATGGTTATGTAGTTAACACTGGTATTTGCACCTAAACTTGTTTTGTAGGCCGTGCTTTAAAAAAAAATTTAGTTTTTTAGTATTATTGGTTTATCATGTCAGTCAATCAATAAACATTTATTAAGCACCTACTATGTGGGTAAAAGAGTCAAATGAGGGCCTTTTCAGTGTGTGGGAGCCGTAGATATATTTGTAGGCAGTAGGAAATGAGCCAATAGATAAAAAGGCATTATAGGCAAAATGATAAGGGAGTGCTCAGGATAAAGGTGAATTGGTGACATATTGTGATTAGCCTTTTCTTTTGCCAAGAGTAGCTTCCTATCCCAGGCTGTGTAACATTCTTGTCTTCAAAACTCAGCAAAATGCTTACTTCCTCTAGGAAATTCTCTTTTGATAGAAATGGATAGTATGGATCAAGTTTGGAGTTTTTGTAATAAGGTGCCATGATAACAGATATTTTGGGTATGATGTTTAAGATACTGCTTATGCCTAGCTAGAGTCAACCTAGTAAATTTAGGATGACAGTCTAATTTGGGATATCTTTTGGATGCATCTGAATGTAATGGTGGCTGGTGGCCCCATTTGGACACCTAGATTACCCGTCCCATTGAGTTAAGCATTTATACCAATAATTTTTTTTTGTCTCATAGTTGTAAACTTTCTGCCTAGGCATTAAAACTTGATATGGACTCTAGATTGTCTCACTCATGCATTCTAAAACTTAATATGTGTTTCTCTCTTCACAAACCAACTCTTACCACTAGATGCCTAAGATTGCACCAACAACACCATGGAGTTAGGAGCAAACGGCTTTAAGGATCATAGTTGGAAGAAATCTTAGCCATCAGCTAGTCTAACCTCGTTTTATAGATGCCCAAAATGATGCCCAAAGAGGTTCATTTGACATTGTCAGTCACATAGCTGTCTGTGTTAAAGACCTTTCTTGGCCTTTGTTCTGGTTTGTGGCTCTTTGTATGTCCATTGTTATATCACCACAGAATTTAAATATGGGTATTTCATATTAATTTAAAAAAGTGAATCTCCTACAGTGTACCAAGACAATTACTGCTATGCTTTTTGTCTCCTTTCCCTCTTTTGTTTATAACCAAGTAGTTAAGGGTATCTTTGTTACATATAATAAGACATTGTTAGCTAAGAAATATTTCTTACTTAAATTTAAAATGTTTACTGGAAATTACATCTTCAGCTCTTATGAAATATTCATCTACATCAGTAAATAATATATACATTATGGTACTAGGTAGTATGGTGGTCATCAGATAAAATATATGGGGCACATGGGGGAAAAGTATTTCCCACATTTTCAAGAAACTTAAAATATAAATTCTGTTTAAATCATGAAGTATTTTCTTGAATCTTTCTTTTAATAATTGAGGGTTCCTGAGAGTTAGAAATACTCTGTGGGACTGCTCTCTGCCTTACTAATATAACTTTTTCATTTTGTTTTTCTAGATCTAATTACTTGTTTAGATACTGCAACTAATTTTTTGGAGCCTGAGTTCAGGTATGACCAAATTTCACACTTTGCTTTATTTCATTTTGTTATTCATGTGCCATATTGATCCAAATATTATTATATTGATAGATATATTACATAATATTGTTTTTCTTCCAAGACTCTTATATTTATGTGACAGTGTTTGCCATATTTTAAAAAAAGGTTCCAGACTCTACCTTCATTATAATATCTTGAATCTTTCCCAACTTGGAATTGACGTCTTTTTCCCCCACGACTTAATAGTATTTTATTTTTTCCAATTACATGTAAAAATAGTTTTTAATATTCACTTTTATAAGATTTTGAGTTCCAGATTTCCTCCCCCTTCCCAAGACAGTAAGCAATCTATTATAGGCCATACATGTACAATCATATTAAACATATTTCCACATAAGTCATGTTGTGAAAGAAGAATCAGAACAAAAGGGAAAAACCATGAGAAAGAAAAAAAAAGGTGAAAATAGTCTGCTTCGATCTGCATTCAGACTCCATAGTTCTTTAAACTCTGGATGTGGATAGTATTTTCCATCATGAGTCTTGGAATTGTCTCAGTTCGTTGTATTGCTGAGAAGAGCTAAGTCTATCAAGTTGGTCATAGCACAATGTGGGTGTTACTATGTACAGTGAACCTGGTTCTGCTCACTTCACTCAGCATCAGTTCATGTAAATCTTTCCAGGTTTTTCTGAAATCCACCTGCTTATCGTCATTTCTTATAGCATGATAGTATTTTACATTACATTCTTATACCACAACTCATTCAGCCATTCTCAAATTGATGGACATCCCCTCAATTTCCAATTCTTTGCCACCACACAAAGAGCTGCTGTATTTTTGTACATGTAGGTCCTTTTCCCGTTTTTATGATCTCTTTGGGATATTGCTGGGTCAAAGGGTATGCACAGTTTTGTAGCCCTTTAGACTTGGTGGAATTGACATCTTAATATTAACTTAAAATCATACCTCATTCCTTCATAATAATCATGTGAGGTAGGCAGTGCAGGTATATTATTATCCCCACTTTATAGATGAATAAGCTGAGAAAAAAAGGATGACATGAATTTATAACTAGGAGAATTATTTCTTCAGAATTTTGAAAAAAACTTATGATGTAAGATAAGGGGAAGGTAGAGAAATAATTTTAATGGGTAATGTACATTTGTATATGTTTTATAAAAATATTAACCACTATTTTGAACTTGTAATTGGATCTTTGGAACTCCTTATTTTTTCAGTGCAACTTAGCTTTCTTTTTCTGCCTTTTTTTTTTAATGCTGTCATGTATTAGTCCCATAAGTGTGTGCCTTATATTTTGCTAGGAAGTATGCCTATCCACAAAAGATTTACCCACCAACACCGAAATTAGAAGTAACATATGGGATTATTATGAACTATTAGTCCTCTTTAGTTGTACTTCAATTAGTGGTATTTTAAAGTTTTGTTTAATTGGAAATTGTTTCTATTGCCTTTTTTTTTTAACTTTGGAAATTCATAAAATAAAGCACCTTCTAAACAGATTAGATATTTTGGGTTTTTTTTTTCAAGTTACCATTTTATATTCCTGATAGCCCTTTTTTCAAAGTTTGTTGACACTTCAGTTACTTTTAAATATTTCCAGGTTTTGATAGTTAAAATCTAGCCCTTTACAGTTAGAATGGCAGGACATGGCATTTAAACATCAACATCCCTCTGATTTCCGAAGTGCAAGAATAATGGTAGTCAGTTTTTTAAGTGGGCAAATACTAAGCTCTGTTATCACTGTTAGTTAAATCATATCATTTTAAGTTTGGAAAGGACTTTTAAGATCTAGTCTGCTGTCATTTTACAGACTGAGCATGTAACTTAATGTTTTTCAAAGTTCTTCAGTGATAGTATAGACAGTATATGGTAAAGTGGATAAAGCCTTAAGCCCTTATTAGCTACGTGACTCTGGACAAATTACTTAATCCATTTGCCTCAATTTTCTCATCTGTAAAATGGAGATAGTAATAGCACTCACCTTTCCAGGCATGTTGTGGGCATCAACTGAGATAATAATTGTATGATGTTTGGCACAATGCCTGGCACATACATAGTCAGTGCTATAAAAATGTAAACTGTTATTATGATTAACAGTAGTGAATGACTAAGAACCAATCATACCACCCATCCTTATTTACTTTTTTTGGTAGGTAATTTTTAAGTCAGATAAAATCACTTTTTATTTTTATCAACAATACTCTTCTTTTTCCTTTTAAAAATGTTTGCTTTTTTTTTTCTCATGAGCTTAACCAGTATCAACAAACATGGTCTTTTTTTTTTTTTTTTGGTGAGGCATTTGGGGTTAAATAACTTGTGCAGAGTCATACAGCTAATCATGTCTGAGGCTGGATTTGAACTCAGGTCATGGTCATTTCCTTATAAAAAGAATTTAAAATTTAATTTAGAATTTAAAATTTAATTTAGAGTTTAAATTATAAAAAATGAAATTTAGAATTAAAAAAAAGAATTTAAAAAGAATATCAATGAAATCATAAATCTCTCATATACAACTTGGTTTTCCTTAATTATATGTTAAATTTCACATCACATCACCAGCACTGCCCTGCTTGGACTCTTGTTTTCTGCTGTTTATTTTTTAAAATGTTTCATTGACACTTTCTTTCGTCTGTCACTACTCACCCCTTCACCTCTACAACTCCCCCCTCTCCTAATATAATAAAAGCTGCTCCTTGTAACAAATATAGTCAAACAAAATAAATTTATTCATAGGCGTGTCTGAAAATGTGTGTCACCCTGTACCTCAAATCCATCACCTACTCCACATGCTCTAAGAAACTTATTGAGTGAATGTCACAACATGAGGCTTGTAGGTAACCAACAGCTGTGGAGAAACAGGACCACTAAGCCATGAATGCTGTGTACAATTTAGATGTAGGATCTGAACACTTAACTGATTTAAAGTAGTGTTGTTGGCTGAAGGTATACCAGCACACATTCTTTAAATTGTTTTTGTCTTTCAGTAAGTACTGTCCAGCAGGCTGCCTGGTTCCTTATTTTGAGATTTCTGGAACTATTCCTCATGGATATAGAGATGTAAGTTGGATGTAGATTTTATTTTAAAAGTTCTACTTTGTAATACATTTTTTGTTAAAGTCCAGAGCAAGTAGGTGTACATTTTTCTTTTTTTCTTTTTTAAAATTAATTTATTTTGAATTATCAGCAATCACTTCCATAAGCTTTTGAGTTTTAAATTTTTCTCCCCCTCCCTCCCCACCTCTCTCCCCAAGACGGCATGTAATCTGATATAGGCTATACATATACATTCCTATTAAACATATTTTCACATTAAGAATTAGAACCAAGAGGAGGAACCACCAGAAAGAGGAAACAAAACACAATAGAAGAAAAAAAGAGCAAATAGTATGCATGCATTGATCTGCATTCAAACTCCATAGTTCTTTCTTTGGATGTGGACAGCATTTTCCATCCCGAGGCCTTTGGAGATGTCTTAGATCCTTGTATTGCTGACAAGGGTTAAGTCTATCAATATTAGTCATCGCAGAACGTTGCTGTTACCTTGTATAACGTTCTCCTGATTCTACTCGCTTCACTCAGCATCAGACCATGCAAGTCTTTCCAGGTTTTTCTGAAGTCAGCCTGTTCATCATTTCTTATAGCACAATAGTATTCCATTACATTCATGTACCACAACTTACTCAGCCATTCCCCAATTGATGGGCATCCTCTCAATTTCCAATTCTTTGCCACCACAAAAAGAGCTGCTATGAATATTTTTGTACATGTGGGTCCTTTTCCCATTTGTATGATCTCTTTGGGATCTAGCCCTAGAAATGCTATTGCTGGGTCAAAGGGTATGCGCATTTTTGTAGCCCTTTGGGCATAGTTCCAAATTGTTCTCCACAATGGTTGGATCATTTCACAACTCCACCAACAATGCATTAGTGTTCCAATTTTCCCACATCTTCTCCAACATTTATCATTTTCCTGTTTTGTCATGTTGGCCAATCTGATAGGTGTGATGTGGCACCTCAGAGTTGTTTTGATTTGCATTTCTCTAATTAAGAGTGATTTAGAGCATTTTTTCATATGACTATAGATGACTTTAATTTCTTCATCTGAGAACTGCCTGTTCATATCCTTTGACCATTTATCAATCGGGAAATGACTTGTATTCTTATAAATTTGTCTTAATTCTCTATATATTTTAGAAATGAAGCCTTTATCAGAGAGACTGGTTGTAAAAATTCTTTCCCAATTTTCTGCTTTCCTTCTAATCTTGGTTTTATTGGCTTTGTTTGTACAAAAACTTTTCAATTAAATGTAATCAAAGTTATCCATTTTGCATTTCATAACGTTCTCTGTCTCTTGTTTGGTCATGAATTCTTCCATTCTCCAGGTAAACTATTACTTATTCTCCAAGTTTGCTTATAGTATCAGCCTTTATATCTAAACTGTGAACTCATTTTTACTTTATTTTGGTATATATTGGTATATAGATACATACATATATTAAAAGGTATGTAAACTTTTAATGAATCCTCTTTTTTAGGAATTAGTGCTTTAGTGTTTTTAATTAACTTACTTCTGCTAATGGTGTCATTCTTCCAGTCACCAAAGCTTGCCACCTAGGATTCATCCTTGATTTTTCACTAATCTTTGCATATCTAATCAATTGTCATGTCTTCTTTATTCCACCTACTGAACATCCCTTTCATTTGTCCCCTTCTATTCATCACCTTAGTCTAGGTGGGACCTCACCACCTTTTGTCTACACTTTAGCTATAGCCTCCTGATGATAGTTATCTCCTCTCCCCACCCCCATTTGTTCTCCCTCTTCTCCATTCCATCTTCCAAGTGGCTGCTGGATTGATATTCCTAAAGTTCAGGATTGCCTGTCACTCCCTTTCTCTAGAAGTTTCGTTGGTTCTCTGTTGCTTTTAATACAAATACAACTCCTCTGGCATTTAAAGTCTTTTGGATTCTAGCTCCAGCCTGTATTTAGAAGCTGATTAAATATTCTATCTATTTGCTAGCATGTTTCATTTTCTGTAGTGGTATATTTGCACGGGCTGTCCTGCATGGTTGGAATGCTCTTATTACTTACTAACTGTTGGAGTTTTTAAGCACCTTTAAAGTTTCATCTCTGGTGCCACCTCCTTCAAGATTATCTGCCTGTTTCCCCTAGTTGTTAGTATTCCTCATGACCCCAGAGCACTGTGTATTTATCTTGTACGTATCCTGTATTTACCTGTCTGTGAACACATTGCATCTCTGCAGTAGAATATTAACCCATGGAGGACAGGGAATGTCTCCCTTTTTTGTTTTGGATCCCTTCTCACTCGCCACCCCCCATGTCTAGGATAGTTCCTGCCATATAGCAAGTATTTAATAAATCTTATTTGATTCCATCTGGTATGTATCTATATATTATTCACAAAAAACTTGTCATTTTATAAACTGTAGATCAAACAGTTAAAATGGTCTAAATATATTGTTTGTAACAGAAATAATCAAAAGAAAACTAATCTTGAGTATTTTCCTTTTCTTTTCCCCAAGTCATCTTCACTTTGCATGGCTGGTATACATGCAGGAGTTGTGTCAAATAATTTGGGTGGCCAGATCAGTGTTGTAATCAGCAAAGGTATACCATACTATGAAAGTTCTTTGGCTAATAACGTCACATCTGTAGTGTAAGTATTCTTGCTGTGTTGTGGATTTTTATTGGGAGGAAAGTTTATATTCTAATAATAACAAAATTATACATACCAAATGCTCATAAAATAAACATTCAAGGCACTTGAGAGTAAGACACTTTTTTACGTATTTAATTTTTTTGTAAATCAAAGGTTCTCTTTGGGTTGTAGATCCCTTTGGCAGTCTGGTTAAACCTATAGATCCATTCTTAGAATAATATTTTTGTTTTTGAAAATTCAGAATTGAAGGAAGTACTGTATTTCAGTTAGATTAATGAAAAATAAAGACCTGATTTTTTTTTTATTGAAGTTCATAGCCCCTCTTACAGTTATAAACTCTGTGGACTTGTTTGGGAGTCTATGGGGAATCCAGGTTAAGAATCTGATATAAATAGAGAAGAACTGGATCACTATTCTAGCATAGTATTTCCATACCTCCCCTCAACATTTTTATGGAAGTAGCACCGGTGAGAATCAAAATATGTGTGCTCTGATTACCTCTTGTGATCAAAAGTAATTGCATAAAGTACTTTGTAGCTATTTCCCATCAGTAAATAATATCACTTGGGGAATTTTTGAGGCTAAGTGAAAAACTCCTTTAGCATTTAGTAAACATTAAGCCCCTACTCTCTGCAATGACCTATACAAAGTAGTGGGGGACATTCAGTGATAGATAAGACATAATTTTTGCCCTCCAGAGGTTTGTGGCATGAGTGGTAACACATATGCACATCCTCATCTTCCATTTATATAGTACTTTAAAGTTTACAAAGTGCTTTCCATATATTCATTGAATCCTCATAACCCTATGATATATGTGCTGTTAACATCCCCATTTGGTAGGTGAAGAAGCTGAGAAAGCATTAATAGATTTAGAGCTATAAGGGTCCACAGAGGTCATCTAGTACAACCCCTTATTTTGTATGTGAAGTAGCTGAAGCCCATACAAGGTTATTCAAGGTGTCACATAGTCACTGAAGTTTGCAACCTAGGATTCATCCTTGGTTTTTCACTTACCTTTGCATATCTAATCATTTGCCAAATAGCAGAGCCAGGATTTAATAGCATTTACTCAAAGTGCTATTAAATTAGACAAGGGTGTGATCATTACTAACTTGGTGAAATCAGAGCAAACTTCATGGGGGAAGTACTGTTTGAACTGGGCTTTGCAGCACGGATACAAGCTCAGAAAACGCCATGAGCTAAGACAAAAAATTATAGGTCTTTAATCGGGAGAAGTTGTGTACTTTAACCATCTGATTGGAGAAGGGAGTATGGTGAGATAAGACTGGAAAAGGTAGGTTGGAGCCAATTCTGCCTCCTTCAATAGGCCAGATTATGAAGGGTCTTGAGAGATGGATGTCTGGATTGTCTTTGTTACACAGGGGAAGGCCATTGAAGATTTTTTAAGTCATAGAATAATGCAATCAGAGTTGTTCATTAGGAAATTTACTATCTCTAGGATCATAACATTTTAGAACAAGTAGGGGTACTAGTAAAGAAGTAGTAGAGATAATATAATACAATTCCTTTATAGATGATAGATTTGAGATTTGCTAAAAGACTTGAACTTGGGTCTTTTGACTACAAATGCAATATGTTTTGTACTATACCATGTTGTTCTTTTTTGTGCATTTATGTAATATCTACTTAGGCATCCTTGAAGTATTCCAAACCAGGAGAAGTTGAGGTAGAACATTAGTGTAGCAGAAAAATTTCCTTGTACAAATCATGTCTTCTCTATGTATTGTCATATAAAGAACACTTGGATAAAATACATGTGGTTAAGGCTTATTGAAACAAATCCCTTATCAAAGTTACCAAACCAATTTTTTATTTGAAATGAGAGAGGATTATATCGAATCCCAATTACATTCAGTCTGATTTCTCTTTTCTGTTTCCTCTAGGCCTATAATACAGATTTAGTTAGTCCTTTTTTTCGGTTCTACAGACAGGTAGTTTTCCAGTATCCTTTGGAGAGTTATAGAAAGGATAGGACCTTACTTTTCAAGAATGGTTTGAATGCATTACTCTAGAAAGGAGTGTATACTAGGTGACATCTCGGTGTTCTTCTAGTCCTGTGATGCTTCCACATTGTGAGATAATCAGTACTTTGCCTTGGCCTAGAGTTGCCTTAGTAATCAACATCCATTACTAGAATTCCAAACCCAATGTTGAATCACAAAATCAAAACTAAAACTTCTTTTTGGTTTTCAAGTATATGGACATATCCTCAAGGTTATACTGGTTGTATTAGAGTCAGGTTTTGTTCAATCTGTATGAGTAAATAGTGAGTGCTACTGACTAGGAATTGACTTTTGGTAGAATTAAAAATTTTTAAAGAAATAGATCCTCAGTTTATTTTGTGGTAAAACTCCCCCTCCCCCCAACATATTTTTTTCGCTGAATAACCTAAATTGTCCCAGGCATTTAATTTTTTTCAGTTCCTATGGCTGACACTTTATTCATTAGAAGCAGAAAATATGGGAAATTTTCTTTCTTTGGGGGGTTACCCTCTTTTTTCAGTATAAAAAATAATCTGATATTGCCACATTAAAGCAGCTTTACTTTTGTAAACGGAGTGATGTGGAAAGTCTAGGTTTTCATGTATTATGTGACTCAGTGAAATTTTGTCTTTTGTTTTCTGTAGGGGACAGTTGTCTGCAAGTCTGTTTACCTTTAAAACCAGTGGTAAGTCTGTTATTGACTTTAACATTTAATTAGAAATCAATAAAATGCCAATCTTAATGAATTAGGAGTCCTACATTCATTTGCCATTGTTTGTAATTTAGTTGGCCAAGCACTTATGCAGAGATTGCTGTTTGAACACCAAAGAGTAAATGATAGGGAGAATATAAAAGAAATAGAAGACAAGAGCCGTTTTTAAACAGGCAACTAAAATATGCAACTATGAAATGACTCAAAACCAAAAATGTATGCATGCATGAAATGGTCTACAGGAAGCCTCTTATTGACATATTCTCAGTAATATAAAAATGCTGAAAAAATAATAAAAATTTATAAAAGCTTCAGTGGATCCTGGCCCTCCCTCCACCCCCAACCCATACCCACTTTGGAAATCTCAGCCGTCAAAGGGCCATCTGTGGCCTGGTGGCCACAGATCTCACTTGTAGCCCTCCCTCACCAGTCCCAAGGGACCTGTAGTCATAGTTTTCACCCATTACAGTCCATCAGAAAACATTTATCAAGTGTGTGGTATGTATTAGCCACTGTCCCAGTCACTGAACAAAACAAATACAAAGAATAAAGCAGTTTCTCTACTCCTAAGAAGCTTACTGTTTTCCCTGCTACTACTGAACAAAAGTAGATTTAATGGGAGGGCAGCAAGAGATTGAGAGATCAAAATTTTGTAGGGATTCAGAGGCACATTACTTTTGTGAAATTAAGTGAAATTTAAGTGAAAATTAAGTGTAAGTAAGTGAAAATTAAGACATGAGATAAAACATTCTGCTTAACAAATTGGAATTAAAATATACTTTGATGCATCTATGATATCATTAATGGTCATAATCCGTCCTCTAGTACAATTCACCATCCTTCAGTATCTTCTTGAGTGTTGTTCTTCTCAATGAGTATTCCCTTGGGATCTACCCAACATGCTGGAAGCCTTCTTCTGGTCTTTTTGTTACATCACAGGTGCTAGTTTAATGCTCTAGCTGTCATCCCTTGATTTCATAATAAGACCAGTCCACACCTTTTCCAGTCTTTCATGTCTCAAGAATGTCTTTAATAACACTTCTTATACACATGATGCTGTTAGCATTATACTGTAGCCTGCATGCACCCATTTTGAGCCACCTGCAGATTTGATTCTTCTCTGATAGTGTTCTATGATCCACAGCCACATACGATCCCTGGGAGAGTATTGGCATTAAAATTATTTGCTTTGACAGGAATGAGCAGTTTGGAGTCACTGAGAGTGATGTATGATTGTCCATCTTCAGTGCATATTCAAAATACACTGCTTGAATGGGCAGCCTTTCCAACTGCCCATCATAAGCTTGGCAGTAGATCTTATTTACTTGGTTTTTCCCTGGGAGGGTTGTGAGCACAGTCACTTTTGAGTGACTCTGAATCTCACTGAAGAGATCCTGTCATGTTCCAGGGTCCATGCAGTAAACACAATGTCATCTAGAAACAGAAGCATGGTGCCTATCATCAATAGGGAGTCTCTTTCATTTGCACTTTACACTGTATCCTCCATGATACTAGTAAATTGCCTGTGGTGGACATGTCTTTTTGTTCATAAATATATGTATGTATCTGTATGTATCAATATAATAGCCTTTGAAATTGGCCAAAAATAAGTGGGGAAATGGTGGATGTTAGTGATCCTTGAAAGCAAGACCATTTGTCTTTAATGAAAGAGCCTGAAGGTTGACCCTCAAGGAATCATTAAAAATTTAATAGTTTAATAAATAAATTTAATTATTTTGTGTATTAGTTTTTGGCCAAGGATTTACTTCCTCCAGACAAGAAGAATGTAAATAGAAAAAGAAAGGAATGATAAATCAAATTTACCATCTTTAATGTTAGATGCGAGTGGTTTGAATTCCCATAAAATAAACCAGTATGTCACTTTCAAGAATCTTAATGTATAAAGTTTTAACTAGTTTAAAATTGAGTAGCAGACAAAAATAAAATGGTAGGTCCTTGAGGGAAAGGACCCTGATTTTGTTTTTGTCTTTGTATCCTCAGTGTCTGTCCCAGTCCTCTGCATGTACCAGTTGCTTAGTACATATTTGTTGAATTGTAAATAAAGATTGTCCACAGAAAGAGATACATAATATCTAAGATACTCCACCCTAGCCAGGCTTGATCTGGAAAATTGTCTCCAGTTATGGACACCACATTTTATAAAGGATAGCCAATAGGGTGGTAAGGACCTTGAGAGATGATTTGAAGGAACTAGAAAGTTTAGACTAAAGAATGTAAGACCTAGGGAGGCCATAGTTATTAAGTCTGAATATTGAAAGATTATCATGTAGAAGGAGGATGAAGCTTGTTCTGGTTAAGCCTCTGCAGACAAGTCTGGAAACAAATAGGCTTAATGTGATAGAAGGGGGAAAAAAGGATTATACATAAAATTATATAAAATAAAAGGATTATATATAATTTATATGTAAGGACTTTTGGCAGAGCTGAAAGGAACAGAATGTGGGTAACTAAGTTGGTAGAAATGTTTATATGTTGATTTTAATTTTTTAAAATGTAAAGTGTTATAAAATGTATTTAAATGAGTTTTTGGTGTTTAAATCTAAGTTAATAGTAAACCATTTTAACAAAGAATAAGAAATAAAAGACAAAGTGAGAGAGTTGATAAGGTGGCTCATAACATTTTCAAGGAAAGGTGGCTCTTGAGGCAATCAGAAGTGATTGAGGGGGGCAGCTAGGGATGTGGTGGATAGAGTGTGGGCTCTAGAGTCAGGAAGACCTGAGTTCAAATCCGGCCTCACACACATAATACTTACTAGCTATGTGACTCTGGGCAAGTCACTTAACCTCTATTGCCTAGCAAAAAACCAAAAAAGTGATTGGGCTTTGATTGAATTGAAAATTTCTGTTTGTTGGATGAAAATATTATTAACTTTCCTTGTGGGATAGAAACTTAGATTTTCATACTTCAGAACTTATAGTCTTGAAATGTATGTATACAAATATGTGTAAGCCAAAAATCAAATTCTGACAGTAGTACAATTTCCATTTGAAAGCCTAGTTTTTTGTTTGTTTTAATTGAAGGCTGTTATGGAACACTGGGGATGGAATCTGGAGTTATCCCTGATTTTCAGATCACAGCATCATCTGTGTGGACTGACTACCCAGGGCAGCAGAATAGTTGGAAACCTGAAAAGGCTAGACTGAAAAAACCCGGGCCCCCTTGGGCTGCTGGTGAAACGAATAAATACCAGTGGTTACAAATAGATATGAATAAGGAAAAGAAAATAACAGGTAAGCGGCACCTCTTATTTAAGAACAAGTTGTGATAGTAATATTGAGGAACTCTTAGAGAAAGGAAGACTTGCATGACATACTACAGTTTTCTCCTTGACCCTATTGTTTGGCATTTTAATCAGTGGCTTGAAGACATAGGAGGCGTGCTTATGAAGTTTGGGGTTGATACAAAACTAGTGGGATAACAAGAACATTGATGACAGAATCAGAATTAAAAAACATCTCAACAAGCAGGAGCTTATGGGCCAAAATATAACTGAAATTTAACAGGGATAATTTTAAAATATCTTGCCGTTACGTCCAAAATTTTAATTATGCAAGTGTAGACTAGAGAGGCCTAGCCTAACAGGAATTATCCTGTGAAAAACAAAAGTCATTTAGCAAGTTCTCTGTGAATCAACAGTTGGTGTCTACCAAAATTGCTAATTCAGGTCTTGGTGTTTATTAGTGGACACCTGGAGAACTGGAGCATATGTTTTGAATATTGGGAACCACATTTTAATCATTACTGACAAATTAAAGAATATCTGGAGAGGAAACTAGGCTGATGAAGAATCAAGAAATCATTTATATGTGCAGTAGTTAAAGAGCCAGTGTTTGTTTGGTTTTTTGTGTATGTGCGTAAAAAATATTAATATAATATATTAGTAATCACAAACATTGCACATACAAAAAACAACAGAAAAATTGTATATCAAGTCATTTATCTTTATTGCGGATGATGGCTTTTAAAATATATATTAAAAAATTTTTAAATTAAATTTCACTTTAACAAAAATTAATTTTCTGTCGTCTTTTGACCCATTTGGAAAAAAAGAAAAAAGAAAAAAACTCTTATAAGAAATCTACGTAGTCAAGCAAAACAAATTCCTGCGTTGGTCACATCCAAAAAGTATTTGTCTCATTCTGCACTCTTAGTCCATTGCCTCTTTGTCAGGAGGTAGGCAGCATGCTTCATCACTGCTCTGCTGGAGTCATGATTGGTCTGATCAGAGTTCTTAAGTATTTCGAAGTTGTTTGTCTTTATCATATTTTTGTTATTGTAGAATACATTAATTTTATTCATGTACCACAATTAGTTCAGCTATTCCTCAAGTGATAGACATCCCCTTGATTTCTAGTTCTTTTGTATTAAAATAAGACCTCTTATAAATATTTTTGTTTATTTGAGGCCATCTCCTCACTGATCTCTTTAGAATATTTAATAGACGTAGTGGTGTATCAGCAGGTCAAAGGGTATACACACTTTAGTGACTTTTTTTGGATATTGTTCTAAAGTGATTTCTAGGATGGTCAGACCCATAAGAAGAGATGTTTAACTAGAAAAAGAGAACACTTAGAGTAGAGAGGACATGATTGGTGTCATCATATTGAAAGGCTGCTCTGGGAAAGAGGGGAATAAACTTGTCCTGTATTGTTCTAGAGCACAGGTGGGGAACCTGTGGCCTTGAGGCCACATGAGGCCTTCTAGATCTTCAGGTGCAGCCTTTTGACTAAGTCCCAAATTTTACAGAACAAATCCTTTTATTAAGGGGATTTGTTCTGTGAAGTTCGGATTCAATCAAAGGGCCGCACTTGAGGATCTAAAGGGCCACATGTGGCCTCGAGATTGCAGGTTCCTCACCCCTGTTCTAGATGATTAGAGCTAAGGCCAATGGATGGGGGAGGTGGGATTTTTAAACTTCTAAACTTTGTTTTTCAAACAGCTTCTAACAGAGCTCTCCAAATGGAATAGGTTGCTGTTTGTAAGGTAAAGTGACTTTTCCATTATTGGAAATGTTCAAGCACAGGTGTAGATAAATAAGGTAACAAGCATTTTTTAATTGCCTACTGTGTGCTAGAATTGTGCTAGGCATGGGATTTTGAGCCGAAGAACTTAGAGAGCCTCTGGTCCAGGGTTCTTAATCTAGCACCTGTAAACTTGTTATTTTTAATATTTATTTGATTTCCATTTGAATCTCATATGTTTTATTTTATTCATTTAAGAAGATTCACCAAACTGCCAAAGGGGTTCTTGATACCCCTGATCCAAGCAAAGTAGCTTATCCAAGGTCAGCCAATAAGCATCAGAGCTGGGATTTATGCCCAGGGCTTCTGACTTCAGATCAAGGTCTCTTTCCACTTCTGTCTTCTCTCTAGTACCGGTATAGGTGAGGTTAAGTTACTTCTAAGGTCTCTTCCAAATCTAAGATTGTGGTTCTGGTTCTTGGTGTAAGAAAGAGGTTCAGTTGAAATTAGCACGTTGGCAACTAAGTGATAGGGTTTTAACCTTTCCTCAGCCAACACTAAAAGTCTTAGAATTTTATTAAAGAATAGTAGAATTTATACTGTTTTATTGTCCATTTTTTAAAAGTATTTTAACTGCTTTTTAATCCTGTATTCTGTTATAACTCTGAAACGATAATCTCTTAAACTATTAAAGTATATGTTGGAGAAATGGAAAAGAACTTGAAAGTATTTTCCATATGTCTTGATTTTGTCAGTAAATATTGTTACTTTGTAAAGATTTTCTGTCAGAAATAATTGAATTGGACTGGTTCAAGAAAATTTAGTTAAAGGAGAAATGGATTTATTTTGCTTTCATGCTTAAGGCTGTGAAGAAATCAGTTGCATGATCATATCTGTTAAATTTTATTGCTTATTCTGAAATAGTGAGTGATAACATAATTGAGATATATTTCCTAATTCTGCTTAAATTATTCCAAAACAAACCTTTTCCCCTCCCCTTCCCCCCATATTAACCCCACACACCCACCCACCACCACCACCACCACTACCACTAAGCTTGTTATCAGGCCCGAACTTTTCCTGGCTCCATTGAAGAAAGGAATTCAAGGATAGTTACGTTTTTATGTTAACACTACTCATTATATCTCCAATACAAATGTTTACAAAAAATAAGTAACAGAAGACTTGATCATTTGTTAATGCTGGAATACTTCAGTCATTGGAAGTTGGGCATTTATGACAATAAACCTTAATGTTCACAGGCATTATAACCACTGGATCAACCATGATAGAGCACAACTACTATGTGTCTGCCTATAGAATTCTATATAGTGATGATGCACAGAAATGGACAGTGTATAGAGAACCTGGTATTGAACAGGATAAGGTAAAATTATTACTATTTACTCTATTATAGATAGGTTTACAAAGTAAATACAGTATTCAGAAATGGAACATTTATTGAGAGTCTAGGGCATCTTTCTAAGTGACATGTTAGATTAATTTTTTTCATTTTCAGGAATGTGATTTCAGTAAGCTGGTACAAGTGAAAATCTAGATCAGTCTACATACATAATTAAAAATAAGATCAGAGAGAGTTAAAGAGAACGTTGTCTCATATCTCCCTCTTCTGGTTATTTTGGGTAAGGTATTAATCCTTGGCCTTTAACAACTTGATACGCTAAAATTACAAAATGTTAAGTAATGTTTATTTCTTTGGGTTACATAATTGTCTAATACAGGATGAGATAAAAGTTCATGTAGACCTGTATTGAAAATGACTAATGGTAGTACATAGGGATTTTGAATTCCATTCTGTAGACTAAAGACTACAGTTGTGATCAAAATTTTTAATTTAAAAGTGTTGTTTTGATTCATTTATATATTTACATATATGAATTTCTGAATTTTTCTCACCAAGTTTTTAAAATAGTTGACAAAATATTAATTGAATTTATCATAGAATGAGCCTTTATAATTATATTTTTTAGAAAATAAAACCCAAGAGTAATCGAGACCATAATTTTCTGGCTTACTGTTATAGATTCAGAACTGGGGGCCCAGAGTGGTTGAGTCAGCCTACAGTCTCAGGGGTGTTATGTAGCAGAGGGTAGGATTCAAACCCAAGTCTTATATAACTCCAAATCCATGACTCCTTTCCAGTGTATAGTTATCTGTGAAAATAGTTGGCCTGTTGCGTTATCATACAAGATTAATTGCTTTGTGATATTAAGATTAATTCTGCAGGTTAGGGGAGTATTAAGAAAAACTCCATTACATTTCTTATCACTAGTAGAGAGAATTATTAAGTAGGAGTTTAACTCCAATAAAAGAATGACTAATACTACTTTTTGTTTAATTAGCTAATTCATAGCATTATACAGAATGTATTCACAGATCTTTTAGGGTAATTGGAAACCGAAGCCTGTTTACAGAATCATAAAGCATTTATTAATCATCTACTATGTGCCAGGCATTGTGCTGAGTACTGGGGATATAAAAAGTAGTCTCTGCTGTCAAGGAGTTCACAGGCTAATGGAGGAAACTATGCAAACAACTGTAGGATAGGATATAGAGTAGGATAGGATATATTACAGGATATTATATTATAGGATATGGAGGTAGTCACAGAGGAAAGAGGCCTGGAAAGACATCTTAATGAAGGTGAGACTTAGAGACTTGAAGGAAGCCATAGAAACCAGCACATTGAGATGAAGAATGAGAGTTCCAGGCTTTGGAGGTCAGCCAGTGAAAATGCTTTGAGTTGGGTTAGAGTATCCTGTGCAAGGAACAGCAGGGAGGTCAGGTCACTGGAGAGTAGGAAAGTGGATGGAGGGGAGGAAGGCATAAAAAGACTGGAAAAGTAGGAAGGGGCCAGGTTGTGAAGGACTTTGAATGCCAAGCAAAAGATTTTATATTTGACCCTAGAGGTACTAAGGAGCCACTGAAGTTAATTAATTGACTGGGAAACGGGTGACGTGATAAGGCCTATACCATAGGAAAATGAATTTGATGGTTACAAATGGTTTGAAGTGAGGAGAGACCGGAGACAGGGAGACTGACCAGCAGGCCATTTCAGTAGCCTAGGCCTGAGGTGATGAGGGCCTGTATTGGAGTGGAGGCAGTGCTAGAGTAGAGAAGGAAGCATATGCTAGAGATGTTAAGAAGTTTGGATTGATAGGACTTGGTAAATGATTGATTTAGGGGATGAGAGTATGAGGAGCCCAGGATGACACCTAGGTTGTAAATCTTTATAACTGGGAGGGTGATGGTACCACCAAAAGTAATAGGGAAGTGAAAAAATGAGGGAAAGGTTTTAATAGCGAGTTCAGTTTTGGACATGTTGAGTTTGAGATGTCTGTGAGACAGACAATTTGAGATGTCTAAATAGGTAGTTCAGTATGCAGTAATATTTCATTTCATCCTCACAACAACCCTGGTAGAGGTAGTGCTTATCCTTATTTTACAGATGAGGAAATGGAGGCAAATGAGTTAAGTGACTTCCCCAAGGTCACACAGCTAGTTAAGTGTCTGAGGCTGGATTTGAATTTAGGTCTTCCTGACTTCCAGCCCAACTCTCTATCCACTGCTGCCACCTTGCTGCCTGCATAAGGTATTCGAAACTGAATGACTACCTCGCTTATCTTATTATCTTAAGATTTTTTTGCATCTTCTCTTGGTAACTCATACTAACATCCGATACCCATTCTAATGTTTTCTGTTGTACAACTTCTCCTATTTCAGTTACCTCATTTATTCCACATTTAGTCTATCTCTATAGACTCATGGACTTTTACCATCTCACCTTGTATCAGACAGTTGTGTTGCACAAAGAGAATAATTCTAGTTCAAGGTTTTCCACTCAATTGACTTCTAAGGTTCTTTGGGATTTATAATATTGGAGTCTGAGAGTATTTTCTTTCTTATGTCTGCATGTGTGTATGTGCTTCACATATAAGTCTCATAATTCTTTCTTATATATATTATTATTAAAAGTCCTTTATTAATTTAACTCACCTCCTTATATGAATGTACCTGCTGTTCCTCAACATGGCACCTGTTCCTCAGCTGCACTTCTTTTTCAACCCCAGCAGAAATTATTGGGGACAGGGTGCCATTATTAGCAGTGTTCTTCTGTTCTGCTACTACATTCCCCCCTTCCTCCAGCCTTCATTATGCCTTCATCCTGGCTACTCACTCTTCTTCCGTTGCCCTCATGCCTCCCTTCACACATTGCTGTTATTCCCTCAACTCCTCTTTACCCTTCATGCTGGAGCCTTTTCTCCATTCTTCACTTTCTTTTTCTAGATTGTCTGTTCCTGTCCCTGTACACATTTCCGATTTTTCTGTCTGCAAATCTTGCTCCGGGTCATAGAAACTGTTTTAAAATTGTAAATATTATAAGAAGTAGATAGAAGTGATTTGAACATGGGGGAATTGCTATTCTCAAGGCTGACATATCAAGAGTCATGTTCTTAGTCACCCAAGTTGGAATTCTAAATGTATTTTTCCTCTTTCTGTTGTTTAAAAAAAAACCAGTGTGATACTTCTTAAAAGTAGGTTTTATTGATGCCTTTTACTTTTACCTCATTGCCACTTCCTGATAAACTGTCCCCCTTCCTTGAAAATAGATATGCCAACTAACCAAGTGATTGTCTATATTCAAACTTATTTATTTGTTTTATGTTTGGCTAGCAGTAGGGTTAAGTGACTTGCCCAGGGTCACATAGCTAGTAAATGTCAAGTAAATGAGGTCAAATTTGAACTTAGGTCCTCCTGACTCCAGGGTTGGTACTCTATCCACTGCGCCACCTAGCTGCCCCTGCTATATTCAAATTTAAATTCGAATTTAAACTAAATTCACAGAGTATTCAATTTTCCCAACTTTATTGCCTTCTACCACCAAAAGGGAGGTAGTGTTTAATCAGAGCTCTTAGAAATATTGTCATAAATATTGATTAGTTATTCCAGTGCTGCTAGTACTATAATTTAACCAAACCCTGGGAAAACAGGTTTCTAGGCTAGTCAGTAAAAGACACTCAATCATTTGTAACATTGTTTTTATGGCTTACTTTAAGATAAATATTTGGTACACAAATGTCTGCACAAGCTGGATACTGTTCATAAAAGTATGTCCTGATTCATCAATGGTTGGATGACCCATTTTTCAAGTATATTTTAGAGGAGATGCCTTTTGGGTCACTGAGTTCCCTTCCAGCTCTCCAATTCTATGATTCTGTGATTGATTGTCATTATCCTCTCATGCCTAAATGGCTGCATCAGTTTTTTCTTTTAATCTTGTATTTTTATATCACCTTCCTTAAATTTTCATTTAATTATTTATTTTAGCAAGCATTTATTATCTGTCATTCCCACTTCTTTCCCTCATTTTCCCTCTACAATTGAACAGTTCAAAAAAAAAACAACCTCAAAAAACCAAAACCTTTATAACAAAACAGATTCCCACATTGGGCATGTCTGATTATGTCTCATTCAGCATTTTAAGTCTAGCCCTTCTCTGGCAGGAAGGGAGCAGGACTAAATATTTTGTGAGGCCTGTACATTCAGGCTTCAGGGAATGGTGATTTTTCCATTGCGGTTATCATCAGAGTTCTAAAGCTTTTCAAAGTTAATTTTCTTTAGTTTGCACTTCGCTCTGCTTCAGTTCATTGAGGTCTTCCCAATTTCCTCTGAGACTGTCCATTTCATCGTTTTTTTCAGTAATATTCCATTACATTCATTTACCATCATTTGTTTATCCATTCCTTGATAAGTGGTTTAGGGCTGTTATGAAAAGCTGCAGTGAGTACTGTGGTACACATGGGTTTTCTTTCCTCTTTCTTTGATCTGTTTGAAGAATAGGCCTAGTAGTGGTGGTGTTGAGTCAAGGGATATGCACAGGTTAGTGACTTTTTGGGATATAGTTCCAGATTGCTTTCCAGAATGACTAGACCATTTCCCAGCTCCACCAAAAGCAGGATAGTGTCCCTATGTTCCTGAAGCTCCTTCAGCGTTTGTCATTTTCTTCTCTTGTCATCTCTTGTCTTCTCTGCTGATTTGATGGCTGTGAGGTAGAACCTCAGTTGCTTAATTTGCGTCTCTAGTTATTAGTGATTTGGAACATTTATTTCATTTGGTTGTTGGATGCTTTCCTGCCTCAACTCCACCTCTTGGATTCACTGGTTTCCTTCCACACCTAGCTTAAATGCTACTTTCCATGCAGCTCTTCCTTAGTCCCCCCAAATGCTAGAGCTTAGCTTCCCTTCTTCCCTTCTATCTGTTTTATGGTGTTTTAAATACAGCTCTGTATGTGCAGGTTGCTTTTCCTGTTAGATTGTAAATTTCTTAAGGGGAGAGACTGTTTCTTATTTGCCTTTGGATCTCTAGTGCCTAACTTTATGCCTGGCAGCCAGTTGGTGCTCAGTAAATCCTAGTTGATTTATTAATTGATTTGATGTCAGATATCCCATATCTAAATAAGATCGTACAACATACACAAGAATTCATCTTCTAGCTTTTGCTCGAAGATCTGTAGTGAGGCAGTACATTCTACTTTGAGACAGCTGTTAGGAAGTTTTTCTTACATCAGGTAACCTAAATCTCCCTTCTGTAGTTTCCTGGTTCTGCCCTCCAAAGCCAAGCAGAGTAAGGTTAATCTTGTTAAATATGATCATGATCCTTCAGATCCTTTGGACAGCTCTCATGTTCCTCCTACGTCCTCTCTTCTGCAAGTTAAACATCTCCAATTCAGTTCTCATGATGTAATTTAGAACCCTTTATTATATTATTTGTCAAACTCTGCTCTATGGTTCATCAGTGTTTTTTGAAACAAAGTGTGGTTCATATTGATTTTAGGCTGCTATTCAACTTCCTTGTTTAGCATCTCAAATCTAAGTATTGTAAGTTGGTTATTTGACTTTGTAGAATCTGTAGTTAATGATATTTTTAGCATTCTGTATCTGTTGAATGTGTGAGTTTTGAGAAGTGAAGTTAGAACTAGAACTTTATGCTCACCTGAATAACTAATTTTCCTTCAGGCTACTTGTAGACTGCCTTTGCCACAGATTAGTGGCTATTTACATTCTAAGACTACCTAATAACATCATCCAGGTGGAGTGCAAATCTAGCCTCAGCCACATGCTAGCTCTGTGACCCTGGGAAGTCACTTAACCTCTTTGTCTTATCTTTAAAATGGGGATGATAATAGCACCTATTTTGCTGGGTTATTTTGAAAATCAAATGAGATAATAATGATTGTAAAGAATTTAGCACAGTGCCTGGCATAGAGTAGGCACTATATAAATGTTAACTATTATTTTTGGTCTCTTATGGAAGATCAGTGAGAGATGTAGAGATATAGGATTCATAAGATTTGTCAACTAATGTTTTTAGTGTTTTTGATATAAATAGGTTTTGTGTTTTGTCAAATATGTTCTTAATCGTTTTTAATGTTGAAATAAATTTTTATCTTTTGGTTAAACCTTAAAAAAAACAACTGACTGGGAAACTGTCCTGATTGTTATTTTCCTGTAGGGGGAGACACATTTCTAGTATATGTGAGTGAACTCTCACTTTTAGTTTTCTTAATTCATACTGAAGGATTACAAAGAAAAGCACATGAGCAAACTTCCCTCTGTCCATGACTTTTCCTCTTTATGTAAACTGTTACTTAGAATTAAAATTAATGTATTTATATCCATGTAAATTACTATTGTGAGCACATTTGTATTTTTACTTCCATCTTCCTTACCCTAATTAGAACCTTTAAAGCTGCCAATCCAAAAGTCTCATTAATTTCTTGAGTCATTTGAAGACAGTATGCATATTCCATATCAAAAAAAATTATCAAGCATCTTGCTAGTTTTCCAGTTATTGGTGTTCAGTGTTTAAAGAAACACATTTTTGTTCGTTTTTTGTTTTGCATCACTTTCATTTTTGAACTTATACTTCTCTCTTTTCCTACCCAGTGAACTATCCTGTCTTTGTAACAAAGAATAAAAAGGTGGGGGAAGAGCAGTTCAAGAGAATTAACTAGCATATTAAATGAGTCCGATAGTATAAGCAGTGTTCCCCAGCCATGATCTCCACCTCTGCATAGAAGGGAGGATCATTTTTAATCTTTTTTTTTTGTGGGGGCCAAACCTTGGTTATTATAATTGCCCAGTCAGTGTTAAGTTGATTTTGACTTTTCATTTACATTGTTGGAATCATGATGTCTATTGATTTTCTGGTTCTACATCTTTACTCTGCTTTAATTTATATAAATGTTTTCATGCTTCTCTGAATTCTTTGTATTTGTCATTTGTGAAGGATCTGTAATATTCCAGTGTTCTTGTGACATACTTGTTTAGCTCTCCTCAGTCATTGGGCAACTTACTGGTTTCTAGTTCTTTGCTACAACAGAAAGGGCTGTTATGCATATTTTGGTTCCCTGTGTATTTTAAAAATCATGTTTAGTTATTGTCACATGTTTAGTTACTGTTAGTTGTTGGTTAGCTGTCATTAAGGACACAGAGAAAGAAGTAATACATATTAAACTAGATCTTTGGAATCTATTCAGTTCTCGTTGATATAAAATACAAATTTTTGGTTTTTTCCTAGATATTTCAAGGAAACACAGATTACCACCAGGATGTACGTAATAACTTCATCCCACCCATTACAGCACGTTTTGTTAGAATTAATCCCATACAATGGCAGCAGAAAATTGCAATGAAAGTGGAGTTGCTTGGATGTCAGTTTATTCCTATAGGTAAAGAACAGTATGTAGTTGAACTGTATGTGTATTTAAATTGATTTTGTTTTTGTTTTGACCAATCTTACCAAAGACTGGAGGGAATGTAGTTTATATTTTGAAGTGTTAGGATTACATTACCTTAAATGGATATAAAATTGTATCTTTTTGTTCTGTGAGCTTTCAGTTTATTTGGCAAGATACCTAGTTTTCAAATATTGTCATAAGTGACCATAGGATAAAGTGGGAGGTGGAGTCTTAAGTGGTGAAATTGATGTTTATGTATAGTTTAGAATTAGATCTTTCTCTGTTTTTAGTTACATCCTACATATATAGCGTTAGTTTCTGTCTGTAATGTTGAAATTGATGTTCCAAAAGAATTCATGTGTTTTGAAGAAACTAAACCACTAAACCCTTTTCCCATGTATCATTACCATCTGTACCTGTGCTTTTGAAAGTCTGGTACAGAGAAAGTTTTCTTAACCAAAAAGCTCATTAAATTCTTACTAAACTTCAAACCTCTGTATGAGAACTATCTGATCAGTTAGTGGGCTAACTAGAAATCTGCATTTTTCAAAATGTTGGAAACTTTTTCTCCCTTTGGTTATTTTAATAACCAAAATTTCCTTATAGGACAAGACAGGTAACTTAGAAGTTAAAATGTAGTTTTAAAAAGGCATCACAGTTTACATGTGAAACTCCTAGAAACTTAATTTTTTTTCCAGGTAGTAATAACTTAGAAATTATGATATAGTGGAAATATAGTTAACGTTAAGAGTCAGGAAGACCTGGGTTCAAATCTTGCCTTTCACATAGACTGGTTGTATGATCTAAGGAAGTCACTTGACCTCTCATCACTCCAGGGAACTCTCTGAAGATTATAGTTGATCTTCATTTGTAGAGACAGTAGGCAGCTTACTTGGGAGGAAGTTGAAATCTGCACTTTAAATTTCATCTGCAATGAAATCATAGATCCCGAGCATTCAGCTTTCATGGAGTTTCCCATTTTGTCATGTGTAGCACTAAAATAATGATCTCCAGATTATATTTCACTGTTTAGAAATTTGGAATTTAGAATTTGTGTGTAATGAAAATGCATTATGCTTTTTATGCAAAATAATTTGCATAATATGCAAATGCAAAATATATTGTTTATCCTTTTAAATTTCTCTTTGAATGTTAAATTTACATTTGTAAAGTAGTCTCCTAAAAACATTTTAAGGACTTCCAAAATTCCTTATTTTTTAACTAAAAGCTAATTTTTAAAAAAACTTGTTTCAAGGTCGTGCTCCAAAATTAACTCAGCCACCATTTCCCCGGAGCAGCAATGACATAAGAAACACAACAGTCACTTCACATGTAGCCAAAGGTGTGTATATTTTAAAGGTAATTGATTTTAGCAGTTTCTTATATTGAGACTTGGTCTTTCTTGAAATTAGACCATTAGATTGTAAAAATTTTTAAGCTGTTTGAAAATGATTTTAATTTTAATTCATTTGAAATCGTGTAATCAAAAGAAATAAACTTTTAAAAACATTTTTCCCCCAGGTCGTGCTCCAAAATTCAATCGACCACCACCACCTCGGCATGGCATTAACTTTCCTCTGCAGACTGATCAAACAACAGTGACCCCAGATATCAAAAACACTACAGTAACTCCAAATTTAACCAAAGGTATACGTTCTTTAAACCATTGAAAATCACTGAAAATGATTTTTTTCAAAGCTGTATAGATGAAAAATAATAGTATATAGGACTGTTTCTTTAAAGTCAGGAGTATTTCAGGTACATTCTAAACTTGAGCCTTTATTTTTACCCTCCTTTCTCCCTCTACAAGCTAGCCAGCAATGTCAAATCTTGCAGTGAGGTCAAGAAAAAAACATCATAATTAGCGATTAAGAGCTAATCAGTAACTTTAGAGGGAGCACTTATGAAGGATATGTATAGTTTAGTGACTTTCTTGCATACTTCCAAACTGTTCTTTAGAATAGTTGAATCATTTTTTAATGCCTTTAACAGTATGGTAGTAAGCCTAGCTTTCTATCGTTGTGGAGAAGGGACCTAGCTTCCTTATTACCACCAGCAACAATTGGTGACCCGTGCCACGGAGAGGCAGATTGGCACAGAAATCGGAAGTGGTAGCCCCTTCCAGACAATTAGATCTGCTTTTAGCCCAGCCCTCATAGTCATCATCCATGGAAGCAACTCTTGTTGAGAGGAGGCCAGCCATCCCCACCAGCTGCCAACCATCTGCCACACACAGGGCAGACAAGCCAGCCGCACTGAAGCAAAAAGGGATCCTGAGAGAAAGGCAAAAAGCAGCATGTGCCAGGAAAGTCAAACTACCCCAACTTGGACCAGCATCTCCCCTCAGTTGCTGGTGGAGGCTGCCTAGGAGCCAGGACCCATGAACCTTGGGAATAGCAGTACTTTCAGCCCAGTGCTCCTAGCCATCATTCTGGGAAGCAGTGGAGATATAGCCTAGTAACTGCTTCTGTGGGGGTTGCAGCAGCCACAGCTACTGAACACCAAGAAAGTAAAGTTGCCAACAAATTCCTTGGCTTTGTCAAAGGGGTCAGCATCAGAAAGGGATACGATTTTATCAGTGAAAATATCATTTAAAAAGAGGCATTATGGAAGTGGGGCAGAGTCAAGATGGCAGAGGGAGAGGTAGCAACTTCATTTGAGCTTTCCTAAAACCTTTCACAATGACATAAAACACTTGCCAAACTGAATTCTAAGTGGGAATGTCAGGAAAAAGTCACAGTAAATCATGTTTCTAGCCCCAGAGCAGCTTAGGAAGACAAAGAAAGATCTGTAGACACTGGGGGTCTGGTCCAGCTGGGAGTGCAACAGTTTGTAGAGGCCACAGCAGTAGCAGTGAGCAATCTGGTGCCCAAGTACGGACAGTAAGGGTACTGAAAAGCTGGACAAAAAGAAATCTCCTGAACTAACATTAGGAATGGAGGCCATCCAGCAGCTCTGTCACCCATTACCCAGATCTGGGTCACAGTTCCAGAGTGGAAAGGAGTGGTCACAGTCATGAGGGAGCAGGAACCCTACCCAGGTAAGGACCAGAGCACAGACCAGGAGGACGGTGATTTCACTTATCCCCAGATCACACCACTTTGGAAGCACCAAAAAATTTCCAGGCCCCCAGATTGAGTTGTGAAAACAGCAGAAGGACATAAAAGACAGAAGCTTAGGCCAGACACCACCCAGAGGTGAGCAGAACCCAACGTAACATAAAGTACAAAGTCAAGAAATAGGCTGGAAAAATGAGAAAGCAACAACAATAGAAGGATGTGTGTTATTCTGGTGACAAAGAAGATCAAGACACAAACTCAGAAGAAGACAGTGACTTGAAAAATCTACAAGCAATGCCTCAAAGAAAAAATGCAGATTGGACAGAAGTCCAACAAGATTTCCTAGACCAATTAGAGAAAGAGATTTTTAAAAAAGAGCAAAAAAAAATTTTTTAAACCAAATAGGAGCAGTAGAAAAAAAAATGGAGAAAAAAAAACAATTTTGCAAGAAAATTATGAAAAGAGAATTAACAGCTTGGTAAAAGAAGGACACAAAATACTTAAGAAAATAATTCACTAAAATTAGAATTAGTCAAATGGAAGCTAATGACTGTGTAACGTCAAGAAATAAGTCAAAAGTTTAAAAATAGAGGAAAGTCTCAGTATCTCATAGGAAGAACAACTGACCTGGAAAATAGATTGAGCAGAGATAACTTAAGAATTATTGGAGTATCTGAAAGCCATTATCAGAAATAGCCTGGATGTCATATTTTGTAAAATTATAAAGGAAAATTGCCCAGATATTTTAGAAACAGAGGGAAAGTAGAAACTGAAAAAATCTACCAGTTTCTTTCTGAAAGAAATCCCAAAATAAGAACTCCGAGGAATATTATAGCGAAACCAGAGTTCCCAGGTCACAAAGAAATACTGAAGGCAGCCAGAAAAAACTAATTCAAATTCTGCGAAGCCATAGTCAGGAATGCACAAGATTTAGCCACTACCATGATAAAGTAGTGGAGGAGTTGAAATATATTTCATATAGTAAAGTTTTTTTGGCATATAGTGCAGAGAAGTAGAGCAAG